TGCTACTACTATGTTGAGCCTCATATTCATTCCTATTATGAAATTATACAACTTCTTTAAAGCAACAAGATTAGAAACCAGTCACATGTCTTTGAATAACACTCAAATCCAAATCGAACTATTGCTTTTATATGACAACCATTTTTTTTTTTGACCCAACGAGGTAACCAAAATTACAGAGGTAGAGGGATGAATAACTTTGGTAGACCCAACAAAGGTAACCAAAATTTAGTCATCGTTTTCTTCCATGTGAATTCTTGAGCTATAAATCTAGCATAAGTGCTACAGATGTTTACATCCACCTACAAGACGAGTCTATATCTCTAGACATATTGTATTTGATGAAAATATTTATCCTTAAGCTAATCGCAATTCTTTGTTTAATAGTGTTCAGGTTTAGAAGGGGAGTTATCCACCTACGCAAAATGTTTAGAGTGTTATGAGCCTGACATACATACTCATTCATCTTTTGATTTTTCACTTCCGCATAAATTACTCGTACGGGATGCCCTTGATGTATTTGTTTCCTCAAGTCCTGCTTTGACTATCTTCAATAATAGCTCTTCAACTTCTTTTATAGAAGAAGATATCATGACTTCAACACCAATCCAATATGTTTAAGATGATGCAACACTCAATTATGGTGATGAAAATGTTGGCACTCAATAAACCAACCAACATAACTTTTTACCAGGCTTTGAGCATCATCGTCATCCCATGGTCACAAGATCTCAATATGATACTTGAAGACCTCAGATTCTTCCATCCATAGTAGCAATCTCACATACTCCTCATTTTGAAGCTATACATTTTGAACTTAAAACTACTAAGTCTGTTTTGGGTCATCCGGGTTGGCATCGTGCGGTGGAAGAGAAAATTGAAGCCTTACATAGTTATTCAAATTGGGAACTAGTTCCATATCTTTCAAGTATGAATGTTGTTGGTTGTCGTTGGCTCTACAAGACTAAATTAAAATTTGATGGTAGTTTAGAAAGACTTAAAGCCAGACTAGTTGTTAAATTATATAATCAGGTTGCTAGAATTGATTTCTCTGAAACATTCAGTCTTATTATTAAGTTTGTAGTTTAGAAAGACTTAAAGACCAATCAACCAACTTGATGTGAAAAATGTTTTCTTACATGAATTTCTTAAGGAGCATGTATTTACAGAAAAACCTCTGGGATTTATTGGCTCAAAAATTCCAAATCATGTATGCAAATTAGAAAAAAGCTTTATATGGTCTCAAGCAAGCACCTTAAGCCTGGTTTAATCAACTTAGTGTCTATTTATTATCATTGGTGTTTTATTGCACCATAATTGATTCATCTGGATTTGTTTCTCGTATTACTCAAGTCATTATTATCATTCTTATATATATTGATGATATTATTTCTACTAGTGATAGTTTAGATCTTCTAGAATGATTCATTTCCCAACTTGAAAGGGAATTTGCAATGAAAAATCTTTGACCTCTTCACTACTTTTTTGGTATAAATGTATCTTATTTTTTAGGTAGAATTTTTCTTCACAAAGCAATAAACCCTGGATCTTCTTGATCGTGCCCATGCTCGGTGCTAAACCTATTCTAACACCAATGACAATGAAGAAAAATATTAATGGGAATTCTGATCCATTTCTTGATCGATCTCTTTATCATAGTATTGTTGGTGTACTTCAATACATTACCATAACACGACCAAACATTTCCCACAGTGTTAACATAGTGTATCAATTTTTGCATGCCCAACAATTGCACATTTTTAGATAGTTTAAGCATATTTTTGTTATCTCCATGGTACACAATCATGTGGCATAAGAATATGTTTTACTAGTTCACTTGAGTTATATACCTTCTCTAATGCAAACTGGGCTGAGTGTCCAACCACTGGTTTCTGCACCTATCTTGGTTCCAATTGCATATCCTAGAGTGTTAAGAAATAGTCGATTGTGACTCGTTCCGGTGTTTAAGTAGAATACCGATATATGACATCCACTGTTGCATAATTAAATTGGTTTTCTTTTTTTCTTTGAAGCATTGGGTTGCATGTTCTTCATCCTCAAGCACTTTTTGTGACAATATTAGTGCTATTTACATGATAATCATGTTTTTCATGTATAAACAAATCACATTGAGTTAGACTATCATTTTGTGTGCGAAAAGATTGCTCTTGATTAGTTCGCACTCGTTTTGTTTCATTTCGCAATCAAGTGGCTGATATCTTCAACAAGCCTTTGTCATGGGATGTTTTTCGAGATCTTTACTACAAACTTGGGTTTCAAATGCCTCCCCAACCAAGTTTGAGGGGAAGTAATAGAAACAAAATTAAGAATTTCCGGTTCTTAGAAAGGCCGCAGTTGAAAATTCTTCTCTTTCATTTTGAGATGAGAATATAACAATATTGTATATAACAATATAGGAAAGTGAATATTACACCATTGTAATGGTAATTATACATACAATGAAAGAACACTACAAATAATAGAGTGAGGCACAAGTTTTTTTCATGAATATCATCTCTCTAAAATTCTTGAGATATTTGATTTTTAAAGCATATAATTTGGCCATTGTTTTTTTGGGCATGTTCTTGTTGTTATTTTACTCTGTATATCTTTAAGTTACTGATTCTTGTTAGTAGTTTATGTTTACTCAATTTTGTTGGTTTTTTTTGTCATTGATTTTTGGTATTAGTTTATAATTTATGTTCTTGATAGGGGGTTTGAGATTCATCGCCAATAAATTGTTCATGCAAATTAGATATTCGAAAAGAAAAGAAGTTTAATCTTCAAACAATTAAAAGTCTATTGATTTGGATGATGCACGTTCTTGCCCAAATTCGATTATGCAACTTTGTATATCTAATTCCTAGCTTAAGTATATGAACATGATAAAATCTTTTTTCTATAATCTCATTTATAAATTAATTGCAAAGAAGAATCGACAACAAATTTGAGAATAAAAAGGGGAAGACAATGCCAAAAATACGAGTTCTTTAGAAAGCAATATGATGAGATAAGCTAATGCATTACTTGAAGCTTCATCCCTTATTAGTTGACAAGATTTCGTAAAAAATAATAGTTAGATATTCAAAAAAGTAAAATTTAAATAAAATTAAATAATAAAATAGATCCTTAAAAAATAAAATAAGAGAAGATGTCTTTGAAACTTGAAAGATATAAATATATCATAAAAAAGCAAGAATTAATGACCCCTCTGAAATGAGATAACATTAGGCAAAATTTTAATTTTTACAAACTGCTCACTCCAACCACCTAGAAATATAATATTTGGGTTAATGGCATGTGATAACAAAATCTTTGATCCAAATCAAAACCTCTAATGAGGTCGAAATTGGGAGTTAAGCAAATTTGGTTTGAGGACCTCCAGAGCTACTTTGATTTTTTTCACTTTACTTTTGATTGTGTTTGGTATCCATATGCCTATTCGACTATGAAATCACTGGAATTGGACTGAAATAAAAAACTTGTCAATTCAATAGCCAATCTCGATTTTTAAAACACCGAATGCACGCCATCCAAACTCCGAAAACCCAATTTGATTTAATCTCCTGATAAATAGGATTAGCACGAAGACAAACAAGGCCTCAAGGAGCAAGAGAACTTGCAAGAAATTAAAACATTTAATAAAATTAAAACTAAGAAAATGTTTAGATAAAGTATCAACACGATTATGTAGAACTGAGGTGCACCTTAAATATATACCAAAAAAAATAGCTTTGACATTGCTACCTCCTCCAAGGTTTAGATTGCATATCAACACGATATTGTAGAAGCGAGGTACAACTTAAATACATACCAAAGCATATTGTTTTGACATTCTAAGACGTCTTTAGGTCTGCAGGGGAATCCACCTCAAAAGATCTTTTTACAAAATCAACTTTACTCAATTCTAATTTTTGTTGTTTGCAAATATGAACCTTCCCTAAAATACAATCGAAATAATAAAATAAATAAATAAAACACATTTATCTCCCTTCTAAAACATATTTATTTTCTAAAAAAGATAACCTTTCTAACTATATATGTTTATCAAAAGTTTGACTTTTTAACTAAAATAATGACTTTCTAAATATTGGACAATATCGTCTAACATAGTTTTTCCTATTTTTCTCTATCTAGAAAATAACTCATAAGATTCTAAAATAAGTATATTTTATACCTCTTAAATCTCTACAACAAAAAATACAAAAATAAGCCCGATAAACTAAAAACCTAAATAATAGCAAATCTAAAATCAAGAAAAACAAAACATTGATTTTTTATTTGGATCAATTTGCCAACATGGAAAAAAAAAAAAAACATGTTTGAGTAATTCTTTCACTATAGGTTATTTGTATTTGTAAATATTTTTCTTTCAGACTATTTCCTGTGAAACAAACGATCCTTAAATTTCACGATTAGGAATACATTTTTTTAGGCTATTATAATAATTTATTTTAACATAAATTAGAGGTGGGCCTTACATGGATTGTTTAAGGTTGACATTTATACAAACCACACCATTTAAATCATTGAGCTATGTATAAAATGCTCATGAGCTATACGCCATTGAGAGCATAATTTAATTCCACTCTTAGAATAGAAATTTTTTTGGATAAAGTATTTATATAACAAAAAAGAAAAAAATTATATAAGGTTGCAACCTTAAAACGTAGAATTATAGATCACTTAAAAAATCCATTGAAAAATATTGTTTTAAAGTTGATAAACCTTTTAATTGATTATCTCAACATCGAGATTAATTAATATAAAAAAATTATAAGTTCCAAAAACAATGCATCATGCAACACATTATCTAGACCGTTTTGAAGTTTTTGGTATGTTTATAGATCTACTTGATTTTAATTATTTTTGGGAGTTTAAAATTTTATAATTAAATATGAAAATATATTTTCAGATAATTCTAAGAAATTTTGACCTTTGAAATTATATATTACAATGAAATTTGGGGGTGCGCCTTAATTGGATAGTAGGTTGCAGCTTTATATAAATCGATTTATAAGTTCAGAGAGCGAAAATTCGTTGCGATGTTTGCTTTGTATGTATACCCGCGCAACATTTTACACTACCGACGGTATCAGCGTTTTCCAGTAGACCCTGAGACACGTTCTTTCTGTCCCTCTGTCTTTTCCCAACGATCTCAACGCCTCTGCAAACCCTAAACCTTAAGCGGAAAAGCTCGCATCCTATTTCAGAATTTGTCCGTCTTTTTACTTTCTCTGGTGTCTATTTATAATGGCGCCTTCTTGCTACGGAGATGATAAAGAAGAAGAAGTAAGCAGCCATGGCTCAGAGGACCAACTGGAAGATGACTTGGACGCTCTGAGAAGGGCCTGCCTTTTAAGTGGACGAGATGCTTCGGTTTCCTCTGATTCTCCGGACAAGAGTGAGAGTGAGGAGGTTGATGACCTTGCAATTGTCCGGATGTTGCAACAGAGATTTTCTTTGCCTTCCACTATGGATTTGACTAAGGTCGATGGTGCTGAAGGTACAGAGGTTTCAGATGATTATGACGAGGATGATATGGAGATTCTACGTTCAGTACAAAGGAGGTTTGGATGGTATCAGTTAGATGGTGAGTCCGGTCTACTGTGATTTATTTCTGTTTGGACTTTGCATTTTTATTTTCTGCGGTAATGATGGGTATTTCTTGATGGTGCTTTTTTCTTTTTGATTTTTGTCTTTTGGTGGTGTTTTCTAATGGTTTTAATGCTTATAGTGATTTATTTCTGAATTATTTGTCTGACGGGGCGATGATCTAAAGGTTTGGATGTTTTGAGCGGTTTCATTAGTGTTCATCGGCTTCACATTGCATATTACAAGGGGAAATTTATTTGTATTTCCATAACAGGATTTGGAGTATTGATTATTTTTATTATTGTCAGAAATTGATGCCCAATTTAAGCGAATTGTTCGGATATTGTAATGTGATATTTTATTATGTACGTCCCATTGTACCATTTACATTCCATGACTGTTCCTTCTTGATCATAACCCCGTTGTGCCGTGTAATGCCAGGATATATTTGTCCTACATTATTCTGAAAGAAATATATGTTCATGCCGCATTGATCATTTGAATGTGGATAAACCTTGAGTAGATTTGGCAGCCAAATGTTTGGTGCCATGCTTTTAGGAGAAATGTTGGCTGTAGTATTAAACTAAGCAAGGTTTAAAAAAACGTATGAGTGACCTAGATCGGCCACCCCAATAACCATTGGAGATCGGTGGATCGCTGATCCGGATTGACAAGATTCGGCATTAAAAAACGTACTATAACTTTTTTAAAATGTAGTCTTTTAGGTTTTCAAAAAAGAAGAAGGTATGTTTGCATTGTAATTTTTAATTGTTTTTACTAAAAATACATAAAATTCTGAGAAACTAACTCATGTTTGAGTGTTTGTTATCCATTACACCCGTTTTATGGTCAAAATAAGATTTAAAATGCAACACATTGCAATAAAATCAATAGCCATAACGCAAATTTTTATAGTGAAAAAAGAAGGAATCCTACTATAGTTTTAGACCTTTTGAGTTAATAGAGAGAAAAAAAGGTTATGACTCTCACCATGAGCTATCGTGTTTTTATTAAATAAAAATGGCAATCAAGGAAAAATCTATGATCCTCTATTTTTGCTTTCTCTCCATTGAGAGAGAGAGAGAGAGAGAGAGAGAGAGAGAGAGATTGCAATAGTGCGTTTGTTTAGCATAGTTGTTTCATGCAGTTGCTGTGAAGCAAAACATAAAAGTCCCACATCAGGTGTTTAAAGAAGCAAAATGATTTATAAAAGGCCTAGACATACTCAATAACGAGTGGGTGTTAGCCATACGTGCAAATTGCTAAGCCATACTCACCAAGGATTGGGAAAACCATGTCCGGTGGTATGGTAATTGCATGGCTTCCAAAAGAAACTTGTTGTGGGCTGCCTATTTTCTCTTAAACAAGCATTTAAAAATTGAACAACTGCCAAAAAATTCAAAAATCCCAAACATGTGGCGGCTGTTTTAGGCCGGTTCTGCACCGACAAAACTGCATCGACAGAACCGGCCGATTGCTGACAAGATCGATCGGTTTGCTCAGAAAGTGGGCCGGTTCAAGGGGGCAGTCGGCCGGTTCCTGATACATTATGGGTACCGGATTGGCTACAATGATTTTCAATTTGGATCGGGTGATTTCGGTCTGGTTCAACAATTTTTAGAACTGTGTTATTAAGTAACATTGTGTACCACAAAAAATCCCCTATTAGGCCTTGGGTGCTCTATTACAAAATGGATATTTTTGTATAGTGTTCTTTATTTTATTTTTCATTTCCCTTTAAATCTTTCTATAAAATCCTTGTTTGAAGAAACATAAACTATTTGAAGCAGTGTTGTTTTTGAATTCGAGAGACTTTCTTGCTCTGCCTATCTATCTATCTATCTATGAACTAATAAATATGAATGCAATTGTGTCAAGTGTAAGGGCCACTAGGCTGCCTATCTTAGTAGTGCTCTTGCACAAGGAAGCTAGACCTTGCAGTTTTGATGGAATCCAGTGCACTAGGGCTTTTTGTAAATTCACCCAGATGGTTAACTTCATTTTAGGTTTCAATTGTTTAGTTTGAGCCATTATTGTAATATGCAACAATGAAATCACTGTTACCTTGTACTTTATGTAGATTCTATGCAAAAGGCATCAGTGGCTAATGCCCCTGAAAACATACCTGAGAGCCAAACAGATCGAGAAGGATCAATGGAAGATGTTTCAAGCTCAAGGGCTTTAGTTCCTTGTTCTTCAGGCTATTCTGGTGAGACACATTTTGAAAACTTGTCTGCCAGTTTCATTAGACGTGATCCAGAAGACGTAAATCCAGAAGGCATATCTTACAGTTCATCTGCATTGTCGTTGAAATATTCTAGCTTCCCAAAAACTGCACGAGTCTTCTTTGAAGCTCTTAAGAAGAACAGGTTGTGTCAAAAATTTTTAAGGAGTAAGATGATTCAAATTGAAGCATTGATTGATGAGAATAGAGAACTGAAAAGACGGGTCACATGCTTAAGAGACTTCCAATTGGCGTGCAAAAGACATTCTGGACGGCTTCTTGGACAAGAATCTGATGCTCGTGTGATGTTGATTTCGCTTCCAAGGATTGTTAGAAAGACAAAGGTATTATAGCTTTTAAAATATCCTCCATATTAATTTTGATTGTGGCTCAAGTAGTCATGTCTTTAGCATGAATTGTAATATAGAGTCCTGTAACATTGTCCTGCTTGCAAAATGGATTTATATTGTTTCCTGCAATTTAGTGTTTAATATAATCTTATGAAGTCCACTTGTCATATCTAGAAATCTTGCAAAGCTCCAACTTTACTGATTTCTTCTTAATTTTGGTTCACATGGTTTGAAAATTTAAGAATACAAAAGCTGCAATGTGTTTTTTAGCATCCTGCTTTTAGGTGTCATCCGTGTTAGATTCCTTGCTGTTGTTGATGTGCTTAGCAACAGCCTTGGACTTGATTTTTCCAAATTTGAAATTTTGAATTGTATTGAATTCTCTCTGTTTGTTAGTGTTGGAATCTTAAATCTGTATGTGGCATTTCCTTATTATCATGTGTTTTGACAGCATTTGTAGTCTTGAGCCTATTGCTGTGTTTTGGGTTCTGAAAACTTACTTTTAATCATTTTTAAATGTGCACGTTGCTCTTGTAACTTTAGTGTAGTACTTTGATGGGTGTTCTCATTTGATATTTCTAAGTTGCTTGCACTTATTTGCAATTGAATGTCTTCCTGTTATTTTATTATATGTGTTTCATTTTGTTGAGACAAAATGATTTTTATGGCCCATTGATGTCCATTGAGCTCTCTCCTTGTGAAGGAATTCTAGTGGACATGAATCCATGATGATTGTTTATGAGTTTTCATCTTCCAAATGTTTGCTATTGGCTATGTGTGGAATGACCTGAATAGGTGCCAACAGGAAGAACTTCTGGTTCTTGGGGCCAATCTCAAGCACAATTTTCACCTTAGTAAAACTTTGACATTGATGTATCCATGATGGGAATTGTTCTCTTGGAGAGGAATGCCCACCTCCCTTTCTCCAGATGTCTCAGTCACTAAAACCAATAACCAGGATTTCAAATCTCTTCTAGCATTTGGAGTGAGGGCATCGGTTTGTATTGTCTCTAGACAACCCTGTTGTTACTCTGGGTTTTTATTTTTATTTTTATTTTTAATGTTCTCCAATTTTGCTTGACTTTATGACATGGGACTTGGACATTGACTTGGCTCAACTGACCTATGGCATAACTCATCTAATGTGGGTTTGACCTAGAGATAACATGATCCAAAGCATGATCATGAGCTAACACTATGGGCATCATTTTAACACTATGGGCACCATTTTAGTCAATTGAAGACATCAAATTAGAAATCTGATACTTTCTGATTGCCTTTTGTAAATAGTTTCTTCTTATAAATACAAGTCAACCTTCTCATAAAAAAATAATAGAAATCTGATACTTTAAAAGCCAAAATCCACTTCTGAATTTTGAGTATCTTGTTTATGATATGCTGATTGTATGGAGGTTCTTCGATATGTCTGATCACGCCATCTTTCATGTTATCGCACTATTATTATAGTTTAACTTGATTTCATTCCAATGCATTTATGTATTAGGATCCCTGTCTTAACACGGAAGCCCATGGTATTTTCTTTATTAATTTCAATTCTTGAGAGTTTGGATTTTTGTGCATTTCAAAAGTCCTTATGCTGGTTCCATTTAGTCATCACTCACTACATACTTCAACATCCAAAGCTGATCTTCCATCTCTTATTTAGGAGTCTAATGAGGTTGCCCAATAATTGGTGAGAGATAGGGTTTTGAAACCATCTCTTGTGGATACAAACAGTTTTGATTAGAGTGCGGGGTGGATCAACAAATTGTGTGAATGAAGTATATACTAATAAATTTTTTTCATTAATGAAGTTAACCAAAAAAAAAAAAAGTCCTGAAGGACATCTTGTCAACCCTTTGTTGTATTATTATTGATTTCCACACTATTTCAGTGTATTTTATTTCCTTCTTGGTATTTATTAATGATATGGTTGCCTTATCTGAGAAGGCTTGCTGTTTTCACAGGACAAGGATGGCAAAGCAGGTATGAGTCTTGGACCTGCTGAAAATTCCCATATTCCTATCTTTAATATTGTGCGAAGGAAGCTGCCAACAGAAGATAGAAAGCTTTGGTCTACGGTAGAGAGGGAAAGTCTTATAAAAGGAATTAAACAACAAGTCCAACAATGCTTACTTCAAAATGCAATGCAAGTTTACAGGTACAATTATAGAACTTTGCATATATGTTTTTTGGGTTCGTAATGAAAGTTGTATTTGCCAATTAAAGGAAAGTAATTTAGGTGCCTTTCTGTTTCTGTAGTTCAGAGGTGGCCTCTGGTGATCCAAATCACTTGGATTCGATTATTGCAGAAATTAGCAATCTGGAAATTACACCTCAGAAGATTAGGACTTTTCTGCCTATGGTTGACTGGGAGAGGTTAGCAACCATGTATGTGAAGGGCCGCACTGGTGCAGAGTGTGAAGCAAGGTAATAGAGGTTCTTGCTGATTGTGAAACATTGTTTTCCATGCATCTTGTTTCTTTTAGATGTAATTCTTATGCGAGTGAGCTTTCACACTTACAAATCATGAAAATAATGGGAACGGATTTATTCACACTTACAAATCATAATGTAATTCTAAGAAATAATTGATTTATTTTCTTGTAAATAATCCTTTTTAATGATAGAAAAAGTGAGTTTGATGTCAAGCCCTCAAATTTTTTTTTTTATAGACAAAGGTTAACTGCATTTAAAATAAATGTATTACAATTATTCTCCTAAAGAAGGCAATCCCACAGATTGGGTGCTCAGACAACAAGAGTTAGAGATAGAGAGAGAAGAAGAGAAGAAAATTAGAAAAACCTAAAGAGGAAAAATGGGCTGAGCCCAACATATGTAAAAGAGATGTTAGAGGTAGGGGGAGAAAAGAAGAGACGAAGAAAAAGAAGGGAAAACAAAAACCTACAGAAGAAAAAATGGGCAGAGCCCTACATATGTATAAAAGATGCAATCTCTTAACGAGAAACAAAGTGCCAAAAGGTTAGAGGTGAGGGTCTCCAGTAGCGGTAGCTGTCCATGATGAATGTGAGACCTCTCCGGGCTTGCTGTAGAGCCGAAAGGAAGATCTGGTGAGAGCTTAGGCTGTTGCAAGATGGTATAGAACCTGTTGAATCTGATTTCTGGTGATGATGTCTGATTTCCGGTGATGATAAGAGCACCCAGCAGCATGGAGTGTAGCGCACCCAAGGAGGTTGTGTTAGGAGGTGCTTTTGTAGATGATGACATTATCCAAGGGACACCCACTGACCATAGCATAATACCCCTCCCTATATTGACTATACCCATTTCTTCGAGTGGAGTGTAGATAGGTGAAGGATGCAAAGAGAGAGGATGAAAAAAGGAGTATATGACCCTCCCTAGATTTTCTATTCCCACTACTTAGAGTAGAGAGTGAATGGGTAAAGGATGAAGAGAGAAAGGATGAGACAAAGAGTATATGAAGTGTGCCTGTAGTGGCTTAATTAAAGTGAGAGATTGTAACCAGCTTGGAGATTGTAGAGGAGCTACAATGAATATAGTGGAACAAAGATTGGAGCTAGAGATAGAGAAAAAGGTCGAAGAGGGAGATGGGTTTGTGGGAACACAACAATTGTGATAGAGTTTTGGTAGGACGAATAATGAGAGTAGAAATGGAAGAAGAGAAGAGAGTGGGGTTGGGGGGTAAAGGTTACAAAGGTGCGTACCTTAGATTAGTCTCTGTTCGAAGCGAATACTTCGGCCACCGGGGCAGTTGGTGCTGAAGTAACGATAGGGTCCAGATGGCTAAGTTAGGTAAGGCTCTAATGGTTTGAAGCGGAGCAAGTTGCCCCAACAGTCAGGGGAGAACAAATAAAACCTCAGGGAAATACTTTTTTTTTTCTCTTCTTTTTTTTTTTTGGGAGGGGTTTTTTTTTTTTGGGAGAAGAAGTTAACATGGGTTAATAAGAAAGAGTTGGGGAAGTGGAAAAGAGAGAATGTTGAGGAGATCATGCTGGTTGCTGATTCGATAGACCGAAAGAGCCTCCTTCCTTGGCCAACGATCTGCCTCTGAATTTGCTTCTCCAAGAATATGTGAAAAGGAGACCTGCGGCAAAAGATTGCAAATGTAGAATATGCTATCAAAGATGGATAGAAGCCTCCAGGGAGGCAGTTCCTCTTGTGTAGCCCAGCTCACTATGTTACTGGAATTGACTCCACCAAAATCTCAAGAGCGTCAGGTACTAATTGAAGCACCTTGTTGAGTCCAACCAACAGGGCCATGGCTTCCGCATAGGTAGAATCTTGGTGTCCTATAAATTCTGAGAAATGTAGGATGGTTGAGGTAGGTCCTACCAATGTTCCATCAATACTCGAAGGGCCAGGGTTTCCTACGGAAGAACCATCTATATTGAGTTTGAGGTAGCCTTGGGGAGGGTAGGTCCATTGAGGTCTAGGTCTGTTTGTTTGAACATGAAGTTGAAAAGGCTGTCCCAGTTGTTTAGAAAGTGGGAGATTTGCATAGTGGCAAAAATGGGAATGGAAATGGCCCAATATGATATCAAGGATGAAATCGAATCGAAAACTGACTGGGTAGTTTTGTGAGTGCCCCTGAATCTCCTAGAGTTTCTTTCTAACCAAAGACTCCAAAATAAGGCTGCCATCGCAATATGCCATAGTTTTCTTCCTAGCTTTGAAAAAAGCGGTGTAAAGTACATTCGGAACAGTTGGGTTAAGTTTTCCGGGGTTACCCATTGTAATCCAAAAAGGTTTAGAAGAGAAGACCAAAGATTATGTGTCACCTCACAGTGGAGGAAAAGGTGGGAAATAGACTCCTCTTGGAGGCACAAAATGCATTTGTTTGGGAATGAGAAACCCGTTTTTTTGAGTTGGTCAAGAGTGAGAATTTTACCTTGAAGGAGTACCCAGACAAAAGCCTGGATTTTATGAGGGATGGGTAATGACCATGATAAATTGAGGAGAGGTTTGGGATTGGGGTTAAGAATGAGGGAAGAATAGAAGGATGATACTGAGAAACAGTCCGAGGGAGCAAGGGACCAAATCAATGAGTCTGGTCGATTAAGGGTGCTAAAAGAGCTTCCTAAGGTTTGCATAAGTGGGATAAAGGCTGAGGATTCCTAATCTGTAAGGTTGCGTCTGAAGATGGGAGTCCATACTAAGGATGCACCTAAAAGGGCCACATACTCTGCCACTAGGGCCGTTGGGTTTCTGGCTACTAGGAATAGTGAGGGAAAAACTACCAAGAGAGGAGAGGTTTCTGCCACTAGGGCCGCTGAGTTTCTGGCTACTAGGAATAGTGAGGGAAAAACTACCGAGAGAGGAGAGGTTCCAATCCAGATATCTGTCCAGAAGTGAATTCTGAGGCCATCTCCTAAACGGTACCTAATTCTATTGGTAAATTCTGTCCTGGTTGAAGAGATACTTTTCCAGGCCCTAGAAGATCTGTGTGGAGGAGATCTAGGAAGCCAATCTTGCCCATTTAGTCCATATTTAGCTTGAATAACCTCTTGCCATAGAAGTGGATGGGGGGAGGATAGTTTCCACCACCATTTCCCTAGAAGGACGTGGTTCATAATTCTAAGATTTTTAATACCTAGACCACCGAATGTCTTTGGAAGACATACTAGATCCCAAGCCACTAGGTGAATTCTCTTAGTATTTTCCACCCCTAACCAGAGGAAATCTCTCAAAAGTTTTTTCAATTTCTGAATGACCGAAATGGGGATTTGGAAAAGAGACATGAAATAAATGGGGATACTAGCAAGAATGGCTCGAATTAAGGTGATTCTACCTCTAAAAGATAGGAATCGACCTTTCCAAGAAGCAAATTTCCATGTGAATCTCTCTATCAAGTTGTCCCACGTATTTTTCCTAGGCTTACCTATGCATAGTGGGAGACCTAAGTATGAGGATGGGATTGTGTCAGTGGTGCATCCAAGACGAGAAGCCAAGCTCTGAAGAACTGAGGCTTCCACATGTATTCCAATCATTTTAGTTTTAGAGAGATCGACTTTCATTCCTGTAAGAAGTTCAAAAGTTCTCAAAAAATGCCACAGACAATCTACTTGAGAAGGATCAACATCGCAGAAGATGAAGGTGTCCTCTGCATATACGAGATGGTAATTGTTGGACCTAAGTGTGAGGTCTTGAAACCCGTGAGAGAACCAGATTCATAAAGGCGAGAAATAGCCTAACTGAATAGTTCCCCTATCAAGGTGAAGTGAAATGGTGAGAGAGGGTTGCCTTGCCTAAGGCCCCTCTTTGCTTGAAAGAATCCTTATAGGGATCCAATGAGAATGGAGGTTGAAGGGTTTGTGGTGCATTTGGAGATCCATTTTCTTCATTTGGGACCAAAGCCCATTTTAGATTGGATGGAATCAAGGATATCCCAATCTACCCTATCATAAGCCTTTTCCCAGTCTAGTTTTTTGACTAAACCTTGCTGCCTTGAGAGGAATCGAGAGTGAATGGCCTCATGGGCTGATAGAGCCCCATTTAGAATTTGTCTATTGGCTACAAATGATGACTGAAATGGGTTAATAATGGAGGCAAGGGATTGTTGGAGCTGAGAAGCTAGCACTTTAGCTAAGATTTTATAAGAGGAGTTTGAGAGACTATTTGGGCGAAAATCCTGAATCCTATGGGCTCCTTCAATTTTAGGGATCAAGGCCATAAAGGTAGCCTTGTGAGCAGAATTAAGCCTTCCTCTCTGAAACAATTCTTGAAAGAAAGCTATAAGATCAAGGGAGGTAACCTCCCAAAGGTTTTGGAAGATAGCTATTGGAAAGCCGTCAGGTCCTGGGGATTTATCCTTCAGAAGATCAAAGGTAGCCTTCTGGATCTCTTCATAAGTGAAAGGTTTCTCTAACAATGCCGAGTCCTCTAGGGAAATAGATTTGAAAGTGATGCTTCGTAGAGTGGGGCGAGGATGGTTGGGCTGGGAGAAAAGATTAGAGAAAAATCTAATAAAGAGATGATTGATGTTGTTAGGCTTTGAAAAGGTTTGGGAGCCTATAGGAATTTGAGTGATAGCATTTCCTCTGCCTCTTGCACTACCTGTCTTATGAAAGAAAGCTGTGTTTTGATCGTCCTGTTTGAGCCATTTAATCTTAGACCTCTGAAACCAGTAGGTCTCCTCTTGTTTCAAAGATTGGGAATGATCAATCCTAGCTTGGATTCTAGATTGTCTTTTTAAGGAAGATAGGAGTCTAGTTTCTTCCAACTGATCTGCTTCGAAAATTCAGGTTGACAATTCTCTAATTCTGGTCCTGAAATTTGAGGGAAGGTCCCTACTCCAAATTTTAAGTGCTGCTTTAAGGTTTTGGAGTTTGCGTGATAATCTAAAGCCAGTCCAGCCAGTTACATTGGTGGAAGACCTGACTGAAACTAACAATGGCATGAAGGTAGGTTCCTTTAGCCAATGTAGTTCAAATCTAAAAGGTTTATGGGTT